TCTGAAGTTATCAAGTGGTCGCACCTAAATGGTCTTAAGCTGAATCCATCTAAATATTATATCGTTGATTTTAGTTTCAGATTAGAAAAAGGCTTGAGTGGAAAAATTCAGTCCCGTGATTCCTTTAATACCGACGAAACTATGATAAGGAGTAGATCAAAGATCTTTTATCTCAGCAACAATTTCCCTTTGAGTCTCCGTTGGTCGTCTTAGATCCTGTGATTTTTAACGAAAGTTCGATAAAGAAAGGAAGACGGAATTTGCAGTATAAAATGATATCATTCTATTTCACAGGTTCTCATCAGTTGCAGACTACTTGAAATTACAATGGTTATATAGATGATAATAACATACTTTAATGTTTGCGTGGTAGTAGAGAAGAGATACTATAAAATTGACGCATCCAAAATGAAAGCATTACAAATTTTAGTTTGAGTTTTCATAATCAATTTATACGCTTTCAAAGTTGAAAGAAGGGGGGAGGGTTAAGACAGAAAACAAAGAAAATTAATTAATAGAACAGTGTTAGCTTGTAGGTTCACATAGCAACTCAAAAACAAAAGCGGTCACAGTTTATGAGATTAAGATTTGTTCAGTGAGTTGAGATCACTGAATAAGATGACTAATTAATTTTGATTTTGATTACATCAGTTAGTCATCTTATTCAGTGATCTCAACTCACTGAACAAATCTTAATCTCATAAACTGTGACCGCTTTTGTTTTTGAGTTGCTATGTTTTCTGTCTTAACCCTCCCTCTTCTTTCAACTTTGAAAGCGTATAAATTGATTATGAAAACTCAAACTAAAATTTGTAATGCTTTCATTTTGGATGCGTCAATTTTATAGTATCTCTTCTCTACTACCACGCAAACATTAAAGTATGTTATTATCATCTATATAACCATTGTAATTTCAAGTAGTCTGCAACTGATGAGAACCTGTGAAATAGAATGATATCATTTTATACTGCAAATTCCGTCTTCCTTTCTTTATCGAAATTTATCAAGGGAACCAAATGTATGAAGTTTCTAAGGAAATGTTTTGTCTGGCTTATTACATAAAGAAGCTGAGACTATTAGAGTGCCTCCAACCATCTCGTATCATCAAATCAGTGTACAAAATGGTGGCGAGCTACCTAGAATTGTGGCCATATTGCAAGCCTGACTGACAGAATTCAGTCTGCACCAAAGACAGAACTAGATACATCACACTAGTTACTAGTGTCCAATCAAAGAAGTTAAGAGTTTATGGCATAACTCAACCTCTCCTCTTACAATTTAGTAATTCATGTTTTTTGCCCATTCTACTTTATTGTCCGCCCTTATTCTTCCCTGGACTTCTCAAAAAAGATTTTACCATATTACATAGAACACTGAAGGCTGTAAGTAGGATTGATGGTGTGCCTTGGACTCAACTAAGTGATATTATTGCCAATAGGAACTTCAATTCTTCCAAGCAGTTGGCTAAAGTTTTCTTGTCTGATACCGAACATCCCCTTTGCTCGCACCTTTGAGTAAAACCAGAAGGAACTTCATAAGAATTCAGGCTCGTACAGCTAATTATAAAAATTATACCATACCATATTCAACAGGGGTTTTGTGTGAAAAGTCAGGTGTCAAAAAAGAACTTATAAACTTTTTAAATCAGTAACTGAACTGCAAAGCGTAAGCAGAGATTATTATTACATGTATTATCTACGATATTATCTATTTATAATTCACTATGTCTCCGCCAACCTTCAGTTTTTTGTGGTTTTATTATTATTTTTTAATTTTATGTATCTGTATATTTATAAAAGGTACTCAGGTTTTGTTAAATGTATAAAAACGTTGAAATTCCACTTTGTATAAATATTATTGTGTGGAATAAAGTTATTATCTGGTAGAACTAGAAGCAGCTATAGGAGGCTATATGCTAGGACTACCAAATACGAAAACTCCACAATACCATATCTGGCACAGCTGTTATGTGATGAGAAATCCGTTAGGTATGACACGATAGACTTACTGCGGCACTCTAACAAATAGTCCCATTAGTTTTTGTTTTCCTTTCCTCGTTACTGTTACACTGTTGTTCTCATCTTCTATTACACACTAATTTTATATTTCACATCCTGTGGTGCATTGTTTGAAATGTAAACGCTACTCTGTTTTTTTAATTTTTGTTTATCTTTTATTTATTTTTTTGGCGTTGGAGTTTTTCTTTCTTTCTTTTTTTATTTTAAAAATCTTATAAAATTTACGAGGTAGTTAGATGCAATATATTGTAATGCACGCTGAAAATTCCATACCCGTACCACAAATACCGTTTGGAATAAAGCTGTTAATATTATTATTATTATTCTAAAAGTAGTATCTGGGTAGTTGTATCAGTTCTGACGGAGGTGTGATGGACGAGATCTCCAACCGAGTGGTGACAGCTGGAGTGGCATACGCCTATTTGAGCCACCTCTGGCGCCGTTGCTACTAAGCATGGTTGTCAAAGGTTGGGTTTATAATGTTTCGTTGTACACTCTCCTGGTCAACGCCTATGAAACCTGAGATCGCTGGAATGAGAATGTTTGTCTACCATTGTATTCAAACACTGCCATCTGGACTCAGTGGAGACCCCCATTTATTGAGCTTCATCATATGGAAACACCAGCTCTGATGACTTTGACATGAGCTACGAATGTCATCCAAGAGCCTTTCGTACCGATCTCTGTTCGTTAGCCCTAAGACTAGATGGAAAAATCGAAGAGAAGGTGGGCCTATGAGTCCAAGAGTCGTGGGATGAAGGATATTTTTCAGTTAGCATCACTTGGTAGATCACGACTGTATGGTAGGATTTCGGAGATAGTTCGAATCGGTGGCTCAAAACGTCATTAGATATGACCAAGAATAGCAATCATTGGCAAACATGCTTCACTTTCCTTTCTTCCTGCCTTTGTGACAGTAATTCGATGAATGTTGTTTGGCCTTGTTAAATATATCTGCTTCCCTTCCGAACGAAGTCCTTATTCATTCTCTATCTATACTTTTCATATTATTATTGCGTGGCACACCTTCTTAGTGCCTACATTGTACCACGTTCTGCGTTTTAAATAAGTAAATAACCAACTGACGTTAACAGGTGTTGATTAGGGAATATCTTTATAAATGTTGTCGTCCCTCTATAATTGTTATTATCTTCTAGTGCTGTCAACCTGGACATTGACTTCAGTTCTGTACTATACTTCACGTATATTCTATGATTTTGCAATAACCAGATAATCAATGCACATTATGTGTACATAAATCTTTAGGAGGAATCAATCCCCCCTTTTGAACACTTATATATATATATATATATATATATATATATATATATATTATCACATCAAATCAAATTTGATTCTTTACGCCTAAAATGAACATCAATATGAGTGCCCTTAAATTAGGAGACTTAATTAATTCACCTGTCAAATATGACAGGCGAAAGCAGAAAAGAGAACAACTGTATATTATTGCTGTTGTTGATATATATCACTATCAGTGTAAGATGTATGGACTATTATTTTATCACCTTTATCACCTTATTAAATACAAAGGCGTACAGATTTATGAATGAGAGATTACAGGTGATATCGGTGATAACTGAGGTAAAAAAAAGGTATTTAAGCGTATATCCAGATTAAAACATCATGCCTACAGCTACTTATACGATACCTAATACTACCTGTATTGAGAACATTACTGTATGTATTGCTTGTCAGTCCAATGTGACCGAATTAGCTCTGATCCTATTATGTAGAAAATATTTTATGGAGCAATTCTTTACACTTTCACTCATTACTCACTACGTTGACTTAGCGACAGGTTTTTCATAAGAAAAAAAAGGATAACTGATTTTTGAATGAAAATACAAGTTATGAGAAGATTTGAATCCCTGACCTTTGAAATTACCACTCGGATTTCTGCAACTCATTTACGAAACTAAGCTGCCAGCCAGGTCTAACCAGTCAAAACCAGCCTAACTTAGTAACTCTCAAGTTAGTTGTGTACATTTAGTTAAGTGAGTGCTTCTTAACATATTACTGTCCCATCTTTGGCCTTATTAATGTTAGCACTTGACTATTTGTACTGTTTTTGGTGCGATTTGATCTGTTTATAGTTTGATTATGGAATGTTATCTGTTAAATGACCACTGAAAACCGGAGACCATTGGGCAACTGACTCGTTCTACTTTGGGACTCTTGATCAGTACACACCTACAAAACCCACATTCAGGGGCTGAACCCACAACTTTCAGGTTATAAGGCGAGGTCTTTGACCAATCATCCAAAGGAATGGAATCCAGTGGCTTGCCCATCAGTTCTCACTTCTGCCAATCCGCAATACATACTGCTGCCGCCAAATGATGTTCTCACTTCCTAACTGGTGGACCCTACTGGTCACCATTTAACTGTTTAATAATATCTAGGATGATGAGATAACATTTAATGATATGTCTACGCTCTGTCATCATCGATTTTCACTTTCCTTATCCGTCAATTAACCCAAAAAGTGAAACTGCTCTGTTTTACCAGCTTTTCATAATTCGTAATAAAGTCTGCACTGACTGATCAGGTAAGCGAAAATTAACTAAGACGAAACGCAGTACTACGGGTAAAATGTATTGTCTTCATTAAAAGGCATAGGTTCAGTTCCTTGTGTCATCAACAATTCAGGATTTTTAAGTATTGGTCTGTAGGAACGAAGCAGCTGCCGAGTACTCCCAGGATTTTTAATGGTTCTCTGAGCGGTTTCAGCTCATGATGAAAGCCTGTAACCGATTCAGGATCTGTGTTACTTTTAAGCTTGAACCTTAAGTCTTATATGCTTGTTTTTAGACAAGATATGTTATTTATGATCCATTCGTCCATAATTTTCTCTTTATATATATCATATAGCAGAAAATTATTTATATTGCTGGTGCATGTATTTACTATATGGTTCAATAAAAATAAAAATTTCTGAGTTAAATTCGGAGGAAATCTTACTTTTTGTCGATGGATTGTCCAAAAGACGTTCTTCAACACGCATCAATCGGCAAATTGTTCCAGTCTGACTGGATCCTCTTCGATGATTCAAGAAATCATTCCCTTTTAAAGGTGATGAATGAAATGGATGAGTTGAATTAGATAATTTCTGTGATCTTAGGGTATCAGGCTTTTGGGGATCTAATATTGCAGCCATCCACTGATTTCTATCTGAGTTTGATAAAAGGCTTCTTAACATTTTATCCGAATCTGTTGGTTGGGATGAGTTACAAAGGTGATTTGGTGGAGGATAACTATTTAGGCTGCTTTCACTGAGTAAATGATCAGCTCCAGGCGAAAGTAAGCCATCTGCTTCAAGCATTCCAGAATCTCTGAAAACTTCTTCAAGATGGTGTGTGTGACTAAAACCTTGTCTATAAAATCTAGGATCATTTTGTTCACATTGTACTGCACTTCGGGGTGTGCATGCACCACAGCGTAGAAATAAAATTGCCAATATAAGTATCAGTGATATTATCAATGTTACAGCGACCATTATCACAATCACAATTAAATCATTTTCTAAGTATGTTCCATGTCCAATAACTGTATTCCTGTGTCTAAAATGTTCACTATCCACTCCTCCGTCACCATCGTTCTCATTGAGTAAATAAGCACTTGTTTGTGATAAATAACGAAAAATATCAATCTGTAAAACCCGATGGTTAACTTTAGCCGGACGTCCCCGATCACTTGCTTCTAAAACTAACTTAATTGATCCTACGTCGTCGACAGTCATTGACCGACCAACATAAATAGCCCCACTTATTGAATCCAATTCAAATAGATTCCCAACAGTATGTGTCGGTATGTATCGTAAATCCGATTTCGGCGTGTTTTGTGCATTACTGTTAAGATTATTGTCAGAATAAGTTGAAGGACTTGTCACAGGAGCTCTGTCCACAACGTCAGGTATATTAGACATGAAACTTGTTTGGACCAATCGATAAGCTACTTCACCATTTTCATTTTCATCCGGATCTTCAGCAACCAACTGAGCTACACGATAACCAACTGGTTCATTAATAGTCAAATTTACAATCTGATGGTTATGCGCTGGAAATATCCACTGTGGAGAGTTATCGTTCACGTCAATTAAGTGTATGTGAATTTGTGTCGAAGATGATAATGTCGGCAATCCAGAATCCATAGCGACAAGATAAAAATTATATGCTGGTACATTTTCTCTGTCTAAATTACCACGTGCCACATAAATATATCCTTTAGTTGACACGCGAAATTCATGAATCATCTGACCTTCTATTTGTGGTTTAATTAAATAATGAATCTGAAAATAAAATAAAAGTATTTACTACTAAAATTACCAAATAATAAAACAATTTTTGAATAGAAAATTTAAACAGCTCCTTATATCGTAAGATCTGTTGAACACTTATTTATCTTAGGTTATTATGAATTGCGAACACATTTAAGAAATTCATAATTCATAAATCAGTGGTGAAAGGAACTAAATATAAGGATCAATAAAAAGTAGCCTAACGAGGTTAGGTAGCTGTGAAGTATTCCAGGATTTGTGGAAGCTGTTGCATTGACAACCACTCATGTATAAATCAGTGTCTTTTGGGGGAAATTTAATTCGTAAAATATCCCATTTTGCTCTAATAAACTTTATTTTCTGCATGCAGATGAATTTTTCATTCCTGGAGTTCCTAGTGGATCATGCTCTTGAGGAATCAGAGTTGGTGGGGGCGTTTTACGGTGCTCGCGATCTTCCCCCTCTTGCGGGCTAACTGCCGACCAGTAAGCTAGGAGAGGTTTAGGAGCCCGTTGTCAGGGAGCAGAACTCTGAAAAGCGTTCTATCGCTGAATCACAACGTACAAATGAATGATAAACTATAATTTACCCGATGGTTTCATTATGCATCAGATTTTTTAGCTAATAAAATGTTGGCAAATTGGTTGATTATCAAATTAAGACTAAGACAAGCATTCACTTTAGTTTTAAAGGTCAAAACAATAAGAGACAGCGTCCCCATTCTATATATTCATCTAGATTTTACTTTTTACAGCAATGTTGTATTTTGACTGTGCGTCGGTGGCACAGCGTAGAATATTCGCAGACCACGCATGTGGTTGGGCGTTCGGTCTCTGAACGACGCACTCCTTTACCTCGCTAAGCCAGTAATAAGACTGGTGACGAGGGGAGGTTGGGCATGAGGCTAGCAACCCCATTCTGTAAAAATAAACACCACTGCTGCCGAAACTTCAAGTCTCTAGCTTGAAGCCCTATGTTCCACTGGGAACGTAAAAGAATTTTAGAAAATTCGACTGAAATAAGTTCGTAGACACTTGCAATCAATCAGTAAACTAATTCATCAGTAATCTTAAACGTCTATTGTCTTTGAAAAGTGGTTATTTTCAACGTCTCTCAGATATTTTGTGCATAAAGATTCTGTAGAGCCTTTCTTGTCCATAAGTTCTGGAAATAAACAGCTTATATTTCAATCGGTCGACACTAAAATGTTAAAGCGAACAATTGTTTTCAGTGAATTCTTCTTCAGGCTCTACAATTATAACTCCACTAATTTAAGCATACAATAGCCGGTAAGGGCAAATTAGAATTATATCAGAAATTGTGTTGTGGAACAAGTGTAAAATGGGATGGAACAATAGTCAATTAGTTTTGAACGGAATGGTCAGTAAGAATATGACACAAAATGAGATGAAATGGTTTAACTATTTTGTTCTTAATAAATTGTGAGGATATTCAGGTTATTAAAATATTCTTTTTTTCTACAGTATACAGACATCTGTAGTTCAGCGGTAGAATGGTCACAAACCACTCACGTAGTCTGGCGTTCGACTCCAAACTGACGCATTCATAGACCTCACGTAGACGGTAGCAAGCTTGGTACAGACAGGAATTTGGGCATGAAGCCAGTAACCTTTAGAAACAGTAACACCACTGCTACTGAAACTTCAGAGCTCAAGGTTGAAGCGCTATGTTCTACTCGGGAAGCAAAAACAATAAAACAAAGAATGAAGAAAATACAGACAATCACTTATCTAAAAGTAAGTGAACCAATTCTTTCCACTCAGAAGGGCGATATGTAAGACTTTATGCAAACTGTATTAACCCCCTTTTTAACAGTATTGCGTGGGCCGAGTGATAATCCGAAAATCTTTCAGAATTAGTTTTTTTTCCTATGTTACTAAGTTCTCACCCATCATTCTTTTATTTGGCAGTCTGACTTTGGTAGTTTGCCAAACTCATTATCCATTTCCATAGTGAAACATATTGATTCCGCATTAATGTTTACATGTGGAAAGTGTCTTTCACGTCCTTCTTCTTTATATATCTCCACCACCATTTTTTGATAATATAAATGGCTTTAGAGCTTTTTCTTCGCAAAAATTCAAAAATATGTCAGGCATGATTACTGATGAAGGTGATCTCACAGATATGCTCACCTTCTCTTCAAATGTGCAATAAATTGTTGTTAGACAGAATTCTACCCTTTTCACTACCTCTCCAATAAGTGACTGTTTTCTTATCTCTAGATTTGTTTGTCTTTTATCTAGTCTCACTTTCCGTGCTCCTATAGGTATTTTTATGAACAGGCTGTCTACATCTAAGGTAACTTATATCTTTTCGTACTGATATTCACAAACTGGATCAAACCAGGAATCGCGAAATCTAACACTGATGACTATCAACTGATCTAATATTGTTTTCTTGATAATAATAATAATACAGAGTAAACTTACATCCATATTCATTTTACTCTTATTCAGTTATAAAGCCTTCATTAAAAGTGAAATCACCTGAATTGTTTTAAATGACAATTTTATAATATTATATAGATAATATTTTTTATATTGTTCAAACTTTTGCTGATAATTCTTCAATGAACTGATCAGTTGTCAGTATTTAGTAACTTAAACATTACTTGACAAGTAATCAACTATTCAACAAGAAGAGAGAAAAATTTAAAATAACTCACATCACCTATGAAAATGGTGACATGATAAACATTTTGTTAGTCGTATAGTTTAGCAACTAGTTTCTTTCCTCTTATTAAAATAAAAATAAAATCGACTAAGAAGCAGTTGAAACTTATAAACTTATTAGATAGTTTATAAAATGATAAGGCTATTTGAGATAACCTTCTTTTGCCAATAGGTTGGAGCTCAACAAAATGTATGAATCATGACAAGATTCTAACCAACAACTTAATGACATACGAGTTCAGACAGCTTTATCAGTAGACCTATGGAACTCAGCTATCTACTAAGTTTCTAATTGTGAAATCATTTGTAAACTGAAGGTACTGGTTAAACATTTTCATACTTGGATTGATTATAATCACCTTTGTGAGCGATTAAACTATGAAGCACTTTAAGCCCACATTACCTTCCATGTTTTCTAATAAAAAGAATGTAAAAGAAATTGGTTAGAACCGTCTGATTAAACCATCTGATATGCAAGGACATTGTGATACTGCATGCATTCTTAATAGTGCATTTTTTAAAGCATCTGTCACTTCAGAAACATTTCATAATAGTAAATTATCAGTTAGCTTTATTTTGGAAAAAGAATAGGGGAAAGAGTTTATTTTATTCTTTAGAATGTCTTGTTAACTAAGCTATACGTAATCGTCAGAAAAGTACAAGTTATTCATGCCATTCAGATTCAGAATGTCCTCAGCATTAAGTTTATAGATGTAAAATTTTGAATTTTTCTGAAAACGAGGGACAAAGAACCTTCATTTGTAGAAAATCGTTTAAATAAATAGTGTCAGTATTGTAAGTGACCATTTTAAACCAAATTCGAAAGTGATGTTTTATGTAAATCTAGTAGTAGTTGTAGATTTGATAATTTAACCTACTAAGACCTACTAGTAACCTTTCTAGTGAATGTATAACACCACAAAGCTAACCAGCAGCTGAGATAATCATAATAATACTTCCGTTGGTTTATTTTCCTTAAGCACATTACCTCAGCAAAATGATTACTGAAGTACAAATATATTAGAGTGATAGCTCGGTTTAATGGCCTGGAATACCAAGCCTTAAAGAAGCTATGTTCCTTATATTTGATGGCATTCGATCAATATGTCATCTACCATCTGCATTTGTAGCTAACCCTACAGTTTTCTGATTTCTGGGAACTGTATCATTCAGAAACCTTTTTCTACTAAACTGTTGAATTCACAACCGTCCTATCACAAAACCTAAGGGTTTAGATGAATTAAGACTCACCCAATGACAGCTTCAAATGGTGTGATTTAATGCCTAAAACTAATAATACTAGTAGAATATATGGAACTATTAAAATACATAAGCCATGTTTCCCAGTAAGACCAATAGTAGATTTCAGAAATACGCCGACGTATGAATTATCGAAACACTTATCTCTAATACTATGCCCCGTTAGAAATCATTCAAACTCTAGACTAACTGATTCATATGAAATGAAAAGGAAACCAAATAATATTCAGTTGAAGAATAATGAAAAAATGATCACTTTTGATATAACTAGTCTGTACACTGACATACCAATCAATGTGGCCTTAGAAGAAGTTACAAGGGAACTAACTTTTGATCCCAAACTTAGTCATAGGACAGAGGTGCCCATTGAGAAAATTATTTTAGGAATCCAATTATGCCTCACGTCTACCATCTTTAAATTCCAAGGCAAAATATATAAACAAACAGATGGTGTGGGAATGGGATCACCAATATCCCTTATCGTAGCAGACATATTTATGGACAGCTGGGAAAGTAGTGCTCTTAATACATTTAATTCTACTCCAAAAATATGGTGGAGATATGTGGATGACACTATTACAGTGTTAAAAACAGAACATATCTCTAGCTTCTTGACGGATATAAACTCACTAGTGAAGCGAATACAACTTACATTTGAATCAGAAAATGAACAAGGAGAATCAGCTATGTTAGATTGTAAAAAAAACGAATAGAAGGTTAACTGCACACTAGTGTTTATAAAAAACCAAAGCATTCTAATAGATATTTAGACTTTAATTCGTCTCATCCGTTAACTGTCTGTGGTGGCAGGCTTAGTTAAGTGTCTAACAAACCGAGCAGTAGCACTAAGTAGTACAAGGAAAGACCTAAATGATGAAGTAAAACAGATAGAAGAGGGATTGGTGTTGAACAACTATCCTATAAAATTCATTAAGAATATCAAGTTACTTGTTTTGACCATTAAAACATCTAATTTTCCATCTGATTGTATATGATCAATAATAAAATAATAATAATTTTTCCTTCACGTTCCCCAGTGGAACATAGGGCTTCAAG